AAAATAATTTAAAGACTTTGTATCCAAAGTCTTTGCTTAATCAAAGTTTCCAGTACCAAGGGTCATAATGATCTCTTATTTAACATTTAAATGTGATTTCACAGAATCTTTCACACCATCTCATTTAATTCAGGAAAGCAGTATCATCACACAGGCTAAATATTTACTACAACTTTAACAAAAATCTTTTCTGGAATGGTTTTTTCCCAAAAATCTATGAAAAATACTGACTTCATAATTTTTTCTTTAAAAGACAAAAATCCAGCTGTAAGCAATTAGAAACAATCCTATAAAAAATAAAAGTGTTCCTGTAGAAAGACAAATAGTCATCGGTATACAATATTCTCTAAGGAGAATACAGCAATGAACTGACCTAGATATTGATGCATTTTGCTGACACAGACAATTTCTGCAGTACAATACAGGAGAACTACAGGATCCCAAACATTCAATTAAAATTCTTGCACATTACACATAAAGAAAGAAAAGATAAGTCAAACACAGTATCAGCAGTCTGAAGAATAACAAATGGGACTGCAAGGTTGTGCAGGTTTTGGTATTTTTGTTTTTTTCTTCTTTCTGTTTTTAAATAAAATTACCATACCTGCAAATAAAACTGACAAAATATCAGTATTTTTTTGGCACACAGATGTCTTACCTTTTTAATTAATACTAAATTAAAACTAATTAGGTGATAAAACTAATCATAGCTATCCTTTATGGCTTCCCAGAAAAACACCTGTGAGACACTGGATTATTATATTAGTTATCAGCTCAGACCAACTCAAGGTGGTGGGAGGGGGAGAGCAAAGTGCCAGGTCGAATTTCACAAAGGTGCCTGTGATGCCCTGTCCTACATTCCAGCCCCTTGGAGCCTCCCCAGGCAGTCCCAGAGTAGCTGTCTTTCACTGCACACCAGGAGCAGTGCCCCACATCACACCCCAGAGCCTCTGACCCAGCCCTGGACTGGCTGCCAAAACAAATAAAACAGCAACATGTGCTCTCCATGCTGTTCTGGACTCCTGTAGATGGATCTTTGCTGGATCTAGGGGTGGTAGCCATAGTTCTCTTTTTCTCTCTTTCTTTTCTTCTTCTTCTCCTAATCTCCTTTCTTGATATTTTGGGTAGCTTAGGATGGGAACTTTGCTAAGTTGTATGGGTTAGCATGTGCTAAGTCAATGCTTCATGGAAAGCTTTACTTTGGTTGAATGTTACCCTTTAAACTTTTGCCAAATTCTGTTATTTTCTAAAGTTTACCAGTAAAAGTACCTCCTGAGAAGATGTGGGCAGCTTTTTTTCTTTGCACTCTCTCTTAAGGTGTTAAAGGAACTAAAGGCTCTTCTAATAAATTTGGCAGATAAATTGTTCAAGCCTTGTATATTTTTAAAGTAAAACCCATTCAGTGAGCTTGTAGCTCAGGTGCTGGAGTCTTACAACACTGTAATCAAGAAACATAGTACAATTATACAAAATCAGACTGTAAGTTCTTTGGAGGGGGGGGTGGAAGGCACCTTAGACCTTATAATCTTATACCTTATCTTAAATATTTATTACATGGACAACAATCCAATTTTATTTGGATTTTTCCTTTTTCCCTGAGGAAATCCAACCTCAACAGCCCTCACATGTTGTCCTAAAATGGCGTAGGTGCTTTTTTTGCTCTAGCTGCCTCAGAAGCTGCCAACGCTACCTTCTGAAGCTACTGAGATGCTTATAACTACAGCGCAGCATAATCCTGTTGTTTCCTTGTGCATCCTGTAACGTGCTCTATGCCTTCTCCCTAGTAGCTGGTGCAACACTGACACACACTCTCAAACTTGAATGCCCTCACAATAATTGTCTGGCAAGGAAGTTGCCGGCTGATAGAAGGGTCTTTGTGGAAAGCAATCCAGAATGAAACACCGGCCGTGCTGACTGAGAGCATGAATGCTGTGCTAAGGTTTACTGCTGTTACTTTGGGCTTTTCCCCCTCTCCTTGTTGGTACTATTAGCAGTTTGAGAAGAGACTTTAAGATTAGTTTGAGCCAAGGCAGGTGATATACATGCCTTTATTTATAAGTGTGCAGTGGTAAACACGCAATTTACGCCTGCATCTGTGCATGTGAAGGAGAAGTCATATAACTTGAAGGTTACTGGGAACTATGAAGGGCAGAGGAGCTGAGCAGAAAGCCAGGCCGTAAAACTAAATACAGGCATTTGCCATGAACCTTAATTCTGGGCTAGAAAGCTGCAGAAATTCAACTAGTTGAGTTCACAGTGGTCTTCACACATACCCAGGCAAGACAAAAACTTCCTAAGCAGTAGCCTCAAATGCCAGGTTTTAAACTTTCACACTTATTTTTACCTAAATTTGTTCAGAAAGACTCATCTGATGTTGACTCACTAAGTAGAGGGGGTGGGGGCGTGGTTGTTAGAAATAATGATACCGGTAACATAGCGGTTCTATGCCAGTTCTGTCACACAGCTTGTCATAAGGGGAGACCTCCCTCTCTACAACTGCCGGAAAGGAGCTTGTAGTGAGGCGAGGTCAGTCTCTTCTCCAAGTTACAAGTGATCAGACAAGAGGAAATGCTCTCAAATTGCACCAGGGGAGCTTTAGGAAACATTTCCTTACAGAAAGGGTTGGCCGGCATTGTCCAGGTTGCCCAGGGGAAGTGGTTGAGTCACCATCTCTGCCTGGAAGTATTTAAAAGACCTGCAGATATGGTGCTTAAGGAATGGTTTATTGATGGCCTTGGCAGTGCTGGGTTAACGGTTGGACTCAAATGATCTTAAAGGTCTTTTCCAATGTAAATTCATTTTATGATTCTATAGTATTTCCTTTGTTTGTCTTGTTTACCCTACTTGTATGGCATAAACAAATACAAAGAAGTTTTATGAAGAAATAGTTCACTATCTTTCCCTTAGTTCTTCTCAGACATTTCCACTTTCCACTTAAAAAAAGCATTCTACTATTAGTACTTCCTAGCATATTCTTTCACTTGAAATGAGGAAAAAAGTAAACTTTAATTCTCATTCTTGTGGTAATAAGCAATAAGAAATAAGCAAATAACATTAAGCACTCTGACCATTTGTCAAAGAAGCTGCAACTCATATTTTACTATCGTATCTAAGATTTCTCTATAGAGAAGCCATTATTGGTCCAGATGCCAGTTTGAAGGTTTTAGGCATTTAAATTTAACTGCACACAGATTTTAATTCTTATATATACACAATACTGCTCCTATGTGCAATAATAACAGAGCACAGAATTAAGTCTCATAAGATGAAAGTTTCATCCATATGCTAGAGAATTTTGACAAAATAAAACAGTGTTTAGGCTGTATATACCAAGACTTCCTAGCTAAAATTTCAGAATTTTAGAGGCACTTTTAGAGTGATGAAAAGCAATACAATTACATTAGCTTTAAAAAATTATCTTCTAACTGCTGAATTTAAAGATGACCTTAAGTTTACAGTATAATACAACAACAGAGATGCATGCTGGAGGCATAAAATATTTAATTTTTTGTACTGGGGCAGCTGTACACCAAATAGTAGACCATTTTTTAAAAACTTTAAAAATATGAAGCCAGTACACTGACAGGGAGGTACCTGCAGGTAGCACTACCTCAGCTTTGCTCCACAGTTGAAGATGAATTTTGCCATTCTCAAAGTACAGCTGAATCAACTTTTGAGCTGCATGACACTCGTACCTTTCAAAATCCAGGTCATTTAGCTGGCACAATTAACTTTTGTGTGTCCATGGTTGTACTATCCACAGAAATTTCAAAGGCAAAATTATCAAATGCATAGGTTTTAGAGGTTTTAAATTAACTCTATAGTTGCCACCTTATCCACTGGCTATTAAAAACAGAACTTTCCTATTAAAGACCAATCTGAACATGCTGGATACATGTAGAGATTTTCAATACTTTCACTACTGTTATTATGTGCATACTGAGCACATTAGTGCCTAAAATCAGAAGTTTCAGCTATTTGAGAACTTTCTCATGAAGACGTTCCCCAGTCTCCCATGTTTAATGAGAGTTCACAATCATTACTTAGCTGTTAAACCAGCACAGATGATTTTGCTCTTTATTCTGTCATCATATCAGCTAATATAAGGACATCTCATTGGAAAGGTTTTTCTCAATAACAAACAAGTCAACACAGAAAATGCCTCTGACTTAATTTCTGAGTCATCCAAACCAAGGCTTATATAAGCCTTAACACTTATTAAAGTCACAGAATATTGAACAACAGTAAAAAACTTCTGCTGAACAAATTGTGCAGTTTCTTGATTTTTGTGTCTTTATTCCATTACTTATACACCCATCAGTGGATGGCTAGAAGCTGTTCAGAAGGGATAGGCAAGGAAGTAGAGGCAGTAGCGTGGCTCTGTACATTGGGAGTGTTTTGACTGTACAAAACACTAAGATAGGGATGATAAGGTTGAGTGCCTATGGGCAAAAGGAAGGAAGATACGCACACCACAGAACAAGACTGCAGTCTAAAATATCTTCAGTAATACACACCTCGGTTCCTTTATTATCTTGTACTACAAGTTTTCTGATTACAGTAAAGATGAGAAAAGTTGAATTTGTTTCTTTAAACTTTAAGTTTCATTATTTCTTTCCAGGTATCAAAATTCCTAGTTTAACTAAAGTGTTTTCACAAACAGTAGAGCTTAAAGGAGATTTAAGAGCAAAGGCAGTTGTCTTCACATATACTAACCTCAGTATACGTAGCTTCAACTTAAAAAATCCATAAATAGAACTAGTTCTGAAGAACACTATACACATTAACCTGCAAAAAAACCTCACTACTGAGAGGAATGCATATTGCTGGAAGTATAATATCCACTATAAAACAGCAACTATAAATAAAATTTCAATGGCAGTGTAAGGTACTACCTGATCTCATAGTTCTCCCTTTCTCATCAGCTTCCATAGATTCTCACAAAGAAATAACCACAAGAAAGATTTCCTTACACATCAATTTTCTATAGTACGACTTACCAATTTTGCTGCTTTCCCATAATCAATCCATCGAATGGTGGCAAAGTTTGTTGACTCTGCACAGTTAAATCCATGGTTAAATCCTGCATGGTATCCATATGGGAAAGTGATCATAAATTCTCCTGCCTCTTGTGTAACCTGTAACATTAAAATAAAATTTAAAAAAATCCAAACAAAATAAATAAATTTTAAAAAACCTCAAAGTGATCCACATTACAAAAGCAGTTCTGGTCCTAAAGCAATGCAAACTACATTTGCCTTTACAACTAACTGAAAAGATAGACTTTTTTTTCACCTTGTAGGGAAATGAGATTAATGCAAGGAGAAACAGTACACTTGAGACAATGTTCTTTACTATAAAATACATAGCTGCATGTAATACTTTACAAATTCAGAAAGAACGTTCAAAATAGCGAATCTTGAAAGCAGGGGTTGAGTGGTAATAAAATCTAGAAGTAGAGGGAACTAGAAAAGACAGTATGAAGAATATATCATTCTTACTGGCTGAGAGGAAGCACACACGTTCTGGATCAAAACACCCCAATTATCATTCCTAAGTACTCATACAAATTAATTGTAGAACTTATTCTGTTCACCACCCTGAAGAAGTTTCTCTAAAGTGCCACCAAAAGTTTTCTTCAAAAGACTGGAGAGAGATCTTATTCTCACCCTTCTCTCCTATACTCACTGATTTCAAAAACTGTGATTCAATGACTTGCGACTGAGAGCCTGATTAGCCTTTTAAGTTTCTTCCTATTCTATTTTATGCAAGAAAGCATAAAGGAGAAGAAACTCTAAGGTGATGAGCCTTAGCGGTTTAAGAAAACAACGCTGTTCATCCCAAAGGAACACACTCGGGTAGTGTCTTTAAGTGGGAAGAGGGGGAAGAAGAATTAATGAAAAATGCCATGCACCAATTCTTAGGTCTTACGGCTGTGGCAGTGTGCTCTCCCCAGTCCAAAGCAATACCCACCAGGGGCAGTCATGATGGCTGCATATGGTTTAAGATGAACTTTGGGAAGATGGATGGCAACACAGTGGCCAGGGGCTGTCTTGTGCAGTGACCCAGATGTCCTGTTGGTATGTGAATATGACTGTAAGTCAACCATCCTCCTCCATAAACAGTGCCCCAGCCCATGGCAGAGGCTGCATCCAGCATCTCCCTTTGAGTAGGGGCACCTCTCAAGGTTACTCCTCAGGGCTGAGAGACTTCTTGCCATGTCAGATACTTGTTGAGAGAACTGGGAGTAAGCATAGTGAAACTCTGTCATCTTAGCTAAGTGATGTAAAAGGTTGATAGTGCATGTATAATCCTTTAGACATGAAGAGTTGACCAAGTCTGGTGACAAAGCCTCGATCCAGCCCCTTCTAGACTGCCCTATGAAAAGAAGCTCAGAAAGCAACAGGGTCCTCTCTGAACCTGTGACTCAAGAGGACGGTCTCCCTGACAGCTCCAGCTGATCCTATCCCCTACACAATAAATACTCAGTGTACGTGTTCATCAGGTCTTGTTAAACCACTGTCACAATGACCACTAAACTCTGTTAACTCCAGCAAGTAAAGTGCAGTACACTCTTTCCACAACAACAGCTACTACCACCAAGGGGATCCCCTGCATTGGAAATCCTATGTAAAATGTCTCAAGATAAAGCTATTAAAGCACCACTTTAGACATTAAATCAAAACAAATTTAAATCTGCCACTGTCCTTCCCCTCTTCCTCTTTAAGCAAAATTTTAGAGAGCAGAAACACTCTGGCATTACTGGTAAGAAGATTTACAAATAACTAAAGGACAACGGGGATAGAAGATGATTCTTAAAGAAGAAATGTTTGACTACAGTTAAGCTCTAGCATTGTCTTGGAGTATAAGCAAGGGTAGTTTCAAAGGACTACTCTGGTCTTTACAAGTGCAACCAAGAGAAAAGTGTGCTAAGGCCACTGGTTCAACAAGAAATTAGAGAAAGCAGATAAAAAAAAAAAGCCCAAACTAACCAACCAAAACAAAAAAAACTTACCTAAAAGCCACTGCCACGGTAATTATAATTTAGCAGATCCAAAAATAAACCATTTTCCTACTTCCTAGTTTTAAAAGATACATCAGATTTAGAGGGCTTCTTTAAAATGTGTGGTTAACAAATCACAGGTCAAGATATTCTCTTTCAAGAGAGAAATCTCATCTCCCTCTTCTAGAATGGACTGTTGCTCTCCTCTGGACACAGAGAAGAGACAGCACTTCTGTCAGTCACTAATATTCTCTCCACACAGAGACAGCTTTAATCAACTGAAGTCAGACCACCAAAGACGGTATCAAGGACAGGCTAGTCAGAGACTTGAAATGGCACACTGTCTTCTGAACTATCAGATAAGAGTTAATGAATAAAGTAGATTACACAGAAGTGAATAGTCAAAAGAGATTCCCCATGCTCTGTTTGATACACCTTTTTACATGAAACACACATCAGACAACAGGCCCACTAAAAAGCAAACAGATCCATTTAAATGAAGCAAATAATCTGAGCAATGACTGATGACTATTCAACAAGATGTATTTGCTGATTACATGAAAATAATGAGACTTTTCAAAGATTAACTTTCATTGTCTGACAATGCTTTGCATAAGCAATACAGTAATAAAAACTGGAAGGACAAGCATGACCCTTTTAGGTAAATACACTTATGATTTGAAATCACAAAAAGAAAGGGTTAAATTTTAAACAAACACTAAAATTAAAACTCAAAACTCAAAACGTTTTTCTTATTATCTTCATGTCCTAAATCTCAGCTTTCTGCTGACATAGTTGTCTTACATTCAATTTCTGCTTTTAAAAACTCCTTCAAAATTCTTATCTTACAGATTTACCAATTCCTTGTGTTCTTTTTTGCCCAATTGGAAAATACACAGGGTTAAGCAGATATCTATTTCTAATTGTATTATAGGATGAAGGAAAGAGAGGAAAACAAGAAAAATATACTAAGCTAGCATAGCTAAAGAAAAAAATTGCATCTTACATTTTGCACGGGTAAATTTTTTGTGGATTCATATTTAGCACATACAGGCAAATGCACATACAGTTGCACATATTATAGCTGTTATGGTAGCACTCCAACAATCACCGTGGGAATGGTTAAGAAAGATTATTCTCAACGCTAACAATTCCAAAATTTATCTCAATACACCATCCCACTGCTGACAGTTTAGCAGGTGTTCTATTGCAACAAGCAGCAGTTCAGTTGCCACCTGGTAGGCGTAGGCTGACTTATCAGCATTCAGCACATTTTCACTTCTATCACTTCGAGCCATGAGAGATCACAGCCTGGTTCTCTCTATTCACTTTCTCACTGAATCCCATTAATTACAATTACACTTGGGTACAGGCTGCTTCCCTTAAAGACTAGGTGACAGAACCAAACTTTAACTGTTTATAGCATTTTTTTTAAATTATAATATAGGAATAATCAAGACACCAAAATACAAAAAGTCAACTCCCCTACCCCACCTCAAATATGTGGTACTGAAAATAGGTACACTACTTTAAACACCAACCTTGAAAATTATACTGTTCAGAGTAATGTTCTGTAAATCCAAAACTATAAATCTAGTTATAAAACCTTCCAGCTTGGAAAGTTTCGCCTGACAGTTTATGATAAAGCACAAGGTTATGAAGGGAATCAGTATTTACCCATATATTACAAAAACTGAACTCAGCAACTATATTTCCACATGATAATGTATCATTCAAAAAACAAACTACTTATTTTATGAGTAATTTATTCAAAAAAAGCTTGCCTTTCCAAGGCAGGTAGTATCATTCTAAATGCCTACATTTCTTCAATTTCACACTTAGGTTGACTTAAACATGAAAAGTGAAGTGATATTCTAAAAAGGTATACATCAAATCAGTGGCTTCTTCCCACCTGTGTTGCCAACACGGTTGTAACACAGAGGTGTTCTGGTTCTTGCTGAGTGTGTCTGACACAGCATCAAGGCCTCTTCTGCTCCCTACATCGCCCTGCCAGCAAGGAGGCTGGGGGTGCACAAGCAGTTGGGAGGGGACACAGCTGGGACAGCTGACCCCATGGTATCGTGCTAAGTATATAAAGCCATGATAAAAAGATGGCACAGGGATTGTTTGGAGTGATGACATTTGTCTTCCCAAGTCACTGTTACATGTGACGGGGGCCCTGCTGTCCTGGGCATGGCTGAACACCTGCCTGCCCACAGGAAGCAGTGAATTAATTCCTTGTTTTGCTTTGCTTGTGTGTGTGGCTGTTGTTTTCCCTATTAAACTGTCTTTATCTCAACCCACAAGTTTTCCAGCTTTACCCTTCCAATTCTCTTCCCAATCCCAACAAAAGGTGTTTAGCTGGGTAATAATATGCATGAAAATATTCACTTAAATGTTATTACCTATGGGTTAAGTTTCATACCGTTAAAAAAACATCAGCTACACCAGACAGAAAGCACTGCATTATCCTATATTCTAGGCTGGGGAACATGTTAAGCTAAGTTTGTATACACATGTCCACATGGTATCAATACATAAACAACACATACACTAAAACAGAACCCACAATAGTAAGTAAGGTGTGTGTCGAGGGCAGTTTACAGGACTATACTGTAGTGGGAAAAGACTGAGAAAAAGTGTATATTGCCTGGTTCTTCCAAACAACTTAAAATAATCTGCACAGTGAGAAACCAAAAATCATAGTCCTTTAATGATCAAAAGGCTTTTAAAACTCAGTATTAACACAAACAGATGCTCAGGCAGGGGACCTTCTGAATCAAGTTCTAGTCCTCTAAGTAAGCTTACAAAACTCCAAAATTTAGAACTTTTGAATTTGTAAAGCATTCAGTGTATAAAATAAGTACACTTCAAAAAGAAAGCAATGCATTGAAAATGTTTTATTAGCTGGCACCTATAAGAAGTTCAAAGTGGAAAACACTAAAAGAAAAATCTTGTAGAAAGGAGAAAAAAATTGAATACTTCAGACATTTTTAAAAGCAGCTATGTATTAAATTCATCCACTTCCTGTTTGTATAATGTTCTTATCAAGCATTTACTGTATCATGACCTAGCACTTAAAAATAATCATTCACTCATTTTCTATTATGTTACAGCTTTTAAAATATATTTTAAATTAAATAACAGTTATTTTGGCTTTATCCCACCCTAAATCCTTCAGACCATACTATTGATAAAGTTACATTTAAATTGAAAGCATGGAAATAAATTAAGAAATTTTGGTAATGTCTTGGGAAAAAAAATCACAGAAACTTTTACAATAAAGACTGTAATGGTTACAAGTGTTTAATGCTAGAAAATTCCAAGCTAAGCTATATAAAAGTTATAATACATCTTTTCATGCAGTCACTGCCTAAAAAAAAAATATTTTTACCCCACCTTTACTATAACAATCTTTATAATGAACACTAACTCAATACAGGAAAGCAGAGTTTAAAAAAAGGCACTAATGTACCTTGCCAAAAGGAATTCCATAATTTTTCAATATTGATGGAGAAATCAGAGTTATCTTGTGGCGAAGAAAAGCATCACATCCTTGAGAGCTGCTCGGGAAGAAACCTAATAAGGCAAGATAAGCAAAATTATGTATCTTTTCCTTAAAACAAGTAGGAAATTCTTGTAATATTTTACAATACTTAATACTGTTTAAACTTGCTTTATAATTTTTTATCATGTCATTCCTAGGTTCTGAGAGATTTGTAAAAATCAAATGCACCTCCTAAGTTTTTCAACTGCTTTTCAGGGGGAGAGGTTACAGGAGTTTGTGTTTTCTTTGTTTGTTAAGAAGTGAAATAATTTAAAATAAATTTGGACCTGTAAATTTAGGCATATTTTCTTATCCTTTAGAGAAATATATTATTGTCGGAGGCTTTTTTTTATAGTATGTTCATTCTGGACACATGGCAATCAACGACAGTAATAAATCCAGAAGGATTCCACAAGCTCTAGGTTTACCTAGCACTTACAAACCATCTACACAGTAAACCAATATAACTTTCAAACTAGTTATTTGTACAATTTGTTGTATCCGTCTTGCATAAACATTAGTTAATTATTCACAGAAGCAGTTTAATTCTTGGAGCAACACACTCACTACTCAATTATAAATTAAAAAAAAAAAACCAATAATCACTTTCAATTAACCATCTTGAGGAAAAAAAACTAACAAGAATTTACCATAATATATAGCCTTCTCTGTAATGTTAAATTTCTTCACTCTGGTGAGTCTTATATATATATGTCCCTTAACAACCCTAAAAGTTTAAAACAATTTCAAGGTGATCTCATTATAGTTGTTATATTCTTGGTACATTCAATTCTAGCACACTCACCAGTACCAGAGGAAAATTCTTTTTCTGATTGCTCAGAAATAAGGTTAAGCAGCATTAAGCCTCAAAGGTGTAATGTGGACTTCTGCTGATCCATGTACTAGGAAGTCTGCTAAGCTGCCCTGAGATCAAATTTTATTCAAATTCATCCTTTTATTTTTATTCACCACCAACAGGTATAGAATTTTTTACACTCTTCTGAAACTGTAAATAATGTTCTAAGGTTCAAAAGTACAACTTGATAGGTACTGTTTTATTATGTATGTTTGGTTTCACTGACTAAAAGACAGTTAAATGAAGCTAGTCCACAATTTCCAATAAAGAAATTTGGGCACAATTAATGCCTATAACATAACAAGAGTAATCATAACTTAGAACCTACAGTTTATGAGATTCAAGAAATCTCAGTCCTGAGCAACATAATAAAAGAAATATACTGGAACTTACAGTGAAAACCGTGATTGAAAGTGATACTTGAGACTTGAGGAAAGAGCTAGTATGAAAGGTAGCAAAAAGCTTAATTTCTAAAAGCAGGGAAAGTTTGACTGAATTTTCCTTGAGAAAACAAATTTTGTACCAAATTCTGATACTGAAATATGTTCAATTAGCTTGATAAAAAGCAAATGATGGGCTGACATCCAAAACTTATGTTGTACCACTACAACTCCAAGAGATCAGAAATAGTTGTGACAAGTCCAACCAGAAGGCAAGTTTGTTGCTGAATTCCAAGGAAGCTGCAAATAACACAGAACAGCAGAACACAACCTGTTCAAAATCCATTACAAGAAATTTACAGGAGAACACTTGCTGTGGTTACAGAGCCCTTGCAGTGAAATCAAAAGTGCAGCCTACGCATTCTGTACCACTATAAAATATCTTTTGACTTGCCAAAGTCTACACTTACACACACAAATTTTTCAGACTCATTCACCTCATTTTCTCAAAAGCACTCCCCTTCTATGAACAAGGAAAGAAAGGAAGGTAGAATTTCCTCCTTACAAGACTGTTTATCAGAAGGTCTTTTGTTCTGCCAGGTTAAATGTAAGGTCACAGAAACTTTTCTTTCAGAAAAGAAAATAAATCCCTGTGGGAGAACTGCTGAACAAATGTAAAAAAATACCTAAAAGCACGTTGAATAGAGGACTCGCTTTAGAAATATTACAAGACCCTTACAAAAACATTAAATGCAACCCAATTCAAGATATGCCTGCAACACTCAGAATCATTCTCAAATACCAAGCTGATGTTAAAACTACAGATTTACAGAATTACCATTTAATCCTGCATGTTTAGTGAAATCCCGCATAAAAAAAATACCGAAATCTATCTAGAATGTAACTACCATTCAAATTCTGTAATATATTCATGCTTTTAAGAGACACATGAAATCTTAATTTAATCCATTAACACTAACCATTAGCTCTAAATTAGTTCTACAAGAGCAAGTATTTTGTAGGAGTTGGCATGCAACCCCATTTTCTTGGATGGTCTCTTGAGACATGGCACACGTATATAATATTCATCTTCTTGGAAATAATTACACAGAAACAAGATGAGAATTCAAAATAATTACTTCATATGAGCCAATGAGTAATAATCGGAGATCAAGGTAAAACTGAATTAGGCTGCTCATTGATTTATGCCCATTAGATAAAGACCATCAAATTGAAAATTCTCTAATCCATGATTTACAGAAACACTGACATTCTCAACACCTAGAGTAGAATTAGAACAGTCTACAAGGTAAGTATGTGATTCAACACTTGGTGGCCAAACATTTGGGCATGAACACATAAAATACAGGAAGTGTACATTTATCCACCAAAGCCAAGGTCCCTCTCTGGCTTTTTAAAATTCTTATCTCCTTCTCACAATCAACAATAGCACAGAATATGTGAAAACACAGGCTTGCACAGGCTTCAGAATGTGCTAACAATCAAAACCATGCCCTTAGAAGACTCTTTATACATGTTCTGACAGATAACATAGCCCAAAATGTCCAATCTTACCAATGTTATTTGTACTAACAAAATTAAACTAATACAACAGTATCGCTGGGCTGGTGAAGATACATCCTTTGTCAATGCTATTCCACCTCAGTATGACGTTTTCATACCATTTCTGTTTTTATAACCCACACATATGCTAGCCAGAAGTCAAAGCCTGCAGGCACTCAGCAGGTTCCCAGCTGTGGATCCTTGTGGGTCACTTCCAACTCAGAACACTCCGTGATTCTGTGACTGAGAACTCAAACGCACAGGGTAGTGCTGCACTGGGAGTCTTTAAAGTGTACATTAAATGGTTCAGGGATAAAAAACATATTTTAAGAAATAAGTTCAAATCTATAAATTATTGAGGGACAGTGAGCATTGCTACCTGGAAGGCTCATCTTTCCCTTCCACCCTGAGAGTATCCTTACTATAGATCACATGCAACTCATATCAGACAACCACATCAGTATCATACCTTCACTCAGGCAAACTGAAGTGGATTGGGTTCCAATCCCTGATTGATTAGCATTTTCAAGATACTTGGAATGCTTATTTGTGGTACTAAGAATGTGTCCATAATATCTTCCATTAAACTATTCAGCTAAAACCATAAAGGGACAAATTACAATACTATTCCCAAAAGAGTAATTATATAACCTCATTAGACTGAATACGTTGATTTGCTACGTATTACCTTCTATGATCAAGGATATCACAATTTGGCTAATAATAAAGTCATTATTTAAGCACACATCCAAAAAATCATAATTCTTAGGGAACTTTCAAATCAAATTCTGACCAGTCAATGAATGAGGCTACACTTTCTGTAGATTTTCTAACTTCCATACTCAAGACTTCACCTGAAATTTTACAGTAAAAGTGCTGCATTCGTAGTTTATTATTATTTAAAATTTAAAAAATGAAAATATAAAACTTATAACAAAAGAAAAAGAACACCCTAAATTGCAAATATCTTTACTGAAATTTAATGTTAATGAAATTAAAAGTAAACCAAATTAACGCAAAGTTATCAATTTTTTTATTTATGTAGATACTATTTAAAGGACCTAGAATAATACAAAATATTAATCATAATTCACAGGTCAGTATTCTTGAAAACAGGCAGAGATTAAAGAATTATTGAGTTTTCTAGTAGTTGTCTTCTTAGATTTTACTTTGGTAGGTATAACTACAAATTTTATATGATTTATTTAAATTACATTGCAGTGATTTAAACTAATTTGATTTAACTTTCTATGTTGAACATAAAAGAAATTAGGAGGGTAAGTCTGCATGACAACAATCGTCACGAAGAAATAATGGCAATTCGTATGCTATACAAAGCACAAAGTACAAAACCCACAAAAAAGTGGCTTTCAACTGCTAGGAAATATGACTGTCAGTATGCCCAGATGAATACATTCAATGAATACATTTAAGTTTATTATCTCTTAAATGCAACTTTCCTAAGTGGACTTATATTGTTGAGAAAAAGTTCAATTCTTCAGCTGCTCAAGTTTTCAAATTCAAGACCCTTAGAAGTTATGCAAGTTCTGCTTCAAATATCATTTCAACAATTATTTGTATTTATTTTCAGACCTAACAGGTAATGACTTCTGCATGAAATGAAGTAATTAATACTATATACCATACAAAGCTCTTTATAACAGCCCTATATACTTACAGTATATTAATCTTTAGTTTCTTCTTTAACATAACTGAACACCACAGATAGATGTCATCTCCTTTCTAAAACAGTTTTCTGCACTCAAATGATCTATTAAAAGATCTTCAAAATCTGTCAAACTGTCATTTTTCATTTGGCACTCTGCTTCTATTCTCTTTATTTTCTAACCCATTTTGTGAAATAAAAAGTCCTTAAGAACACCATAGTATTCCAGATTAACATAAGATGAAAGTATAAAAATTGCAGCTAACAGCTCACTTGAGATTTTTATTACATTTATGTCTACATAAAATTGAAAAAAAAAATCTACATAAATGAGAAAGCAGCTGAAGGGCAAAATCAAACTGTTGTCTTTATTAGATGCAAGTCTAATGTCTTTCAGATAAAGCATTTGTAGGCACCACAGTCAATCAAGATTTCAATGGAAAGCAAAAATGAAAGCATTCAGGCACAAAAGGCATGTGTGGTAATTGTGATGTGCAGACAAGATAATGGAAAATATTCTAGCCTTCCTTTAATTTCATGTATCAACTTCTGCCTTGACTTAGACAACCTGTCACATTTAATGTATTATTTTATTATTTTAATTATTTAGGAGTATTAGATTAATTCAGTAGGTATCTGGTCATCAGATCTAACCTTGAAAAAATTAGGGTTTTTTCCTTCAAATGTTGCACTCGTGCAAAAATATGATCAAAAATATTTTCAATTTTCATGTCATTAAGTATGAAGGTGTCATTTACACTATGTTTTAATAATGTTTGCTCTTAAGTGACTTGCAGCCACACAGCTTACTTTTTATTTTCATCTTTGTAAGATACCTTACTATAAAATTTAGGCTGTATTTTAGGAGGCAGCAGCTGCAAAATAGATCACAGAGGTCTTAACTGCTACAGCATGGAAATAATAAGAAATGGTCCCTCATCTTTACTGTTAAGTACTACAGTTCATCTTCTATATTCCATTCTCAGCTATTAGCTGGACACAAATTATCATGGAAACAATCTACTCACAGAAAAATACCCCAGAGGACATTAAAACTGAATGCTAAACACTTAGTTTCATGGCCAACACTCTTTAACATTTCCTAATTCATCTATCTTATACTGCTGTTACAAAAATAATCTCTGTATGAGTATGTAGTTTTCCTACGTAAATCCAGTTTCAGTCACTGAGTATAATAGAATAAACACTATTTTAAATTTTATCATCACTTCTCAGTATCTGATTCTATGGTTTAGTTGCTATTTACTATTTGAAACACAGCTATGAAGCAAAAATAGGTGAGATTGAAGTGCTAAGTCCCATTCAGCCTATTGTGCAATTCTGACTCTAGCATTTGGACATTAAGACATGATATTGTTCCCCCAGTATAACCAACTGGTTTCTGAAAAACAGTCAGTTTCGAGATTTCCATTTCTCCCCATGCTTTATGTTCCTTTCCTATTATTTTTGTAGGCCACTATCAGCAGTAAGAGGTCTGAGCACCTTCAGGCCAGTTTTCTAACATGATGCTTTCTTTTTCCATGAAGCAAGACATGTATCTCCACAAGTTACCTAATTCCTGAATTTGTACGGGTTAATCCAATATCTAGGGAAATAAAGGTATTTCAAAGAGAAATTTGAAGAGTTTCTTTAGCCTGCAACAATCAATGCCATGCCTCAATGCCACTTCATTTTTAGAAATGAGTGAACAAGCACTGCTGAAACTGCCCATCGTCTTCCCTCACTTTGAAAATAAAACGAAATTCAATACATGTTCACAGATTTCACAGAATATTCAGAGTTGGAAGGGACCCATAAGGATCATAGAGTCCAACTCATAAGTGAATGGCCAATACGGGGATCAAACCCGAAACCCTGGTGTTATTACCACCATGGTCTAACCAACTGAGCTAATCTCAGTGTTATTACAGGACTTTTAAACTTGAATGGTTTTAAAACACTGTATAGCTACAATCAAGCAATATGAAATCCACGATAAACACCAGAGGAGCATTTGACATCAAATAAAAAGACTATCTACCCAAAGATCTTGCTCCCATTAAATATGAGAGAACACAGAGAAGTGTTTACATACAGCATGAAAAGTTTGCTTTCTCGAACTAATCTAGTACCAACTAGATGCTGCTCCAAACCTTACAAAGCTAGCAGCAGCTGCTATGCTCCTCTAACAGATATAGGTGCCAGCGTTGTCCAAACTGCACTAGAAGCCATGTAAAATTTTAGAATTCACCACGTACAGTGAGGAATGAATGCTGAGGAAAAAAAAAAATCTCCTTGCATCTGCTTTGAGCCTGCTAAGGCTCTTAATTTTTCACCAGCCCTAATGTCTCTGTCTTAAACTTACCCAATTCTCTACTCTGTTTACTCTTTTATAATTTCTTGTAAATCTTAATTATTGAATCATCCTATTTTAAGTCAGCAACCATTGCCCAGTCTACATGTTTCAATTTGTTTACCAGGGAAAACCAAAAGCTTCAAGTTAAGTGTATAAGGAGTTCCATACTTTAAAAATTGGAAAAAGAATCTGGAAAGCAACGGACAACTTTTTCAAATGGAACTACGGCAAAATTTAGGAATAGGAAATAGTTGAAATCTGTTTTCTTGAGACATGCTTTTAAGACTGGAAATTCACAGGTCTTGACATTCACATCTCTAACTGCCTTTCTACTGTTCTCAGCAATAGTTCTAAAACAGCTCAGAAAAACACTCATGCACCTATATAAAAAAAAAAAAAGAAAACAAAAATGTACAAAAATTTGCAGAATTAGGTCCTGATACACAATATCTATTAGGAACTTGCAATAGCATTCTTTACATATTATGGTTAATAGCAAGCTATATAACACGGGCTCCCAGGCGAAGAAACATCTCTAATTATTCCCATGTTCATAAGTTGCTCTCTTATTCTAGAAACAAAAATAGAGGTGTAATGTTGAAAGCAAACCAAAACTACTGTGTGAAAATTTTCCTATAGACTCTTGACTTTTTTCCTTTAAAACTCAACTTTACAACAATAGCCCTGCTCCTTGTTCAAAAACGTTCCCAACACCTCTGGAAGGTAAAAGCCAGTACATCTTTAGCTAAAGTGGATTGATATGCTTGTTCACTGGTCAGAAAGCTGGTAAAAAGTAAGATTTACTGTTTGTACATTTTGTGGGCTTCCCCCTTTGCAGAGGTACTAACTAAGACTCCATCCTCTACCCAGTCATTAACTTTGATAAACCTTCTGGAGACTTGTCTGTCTTCAAATTTGGATATATCAAAGTTGTATAAGAAATTACGATTCAAAAAGTTACTAAAGAAAAGAAGCTACAACAAGAAAGAGCAAGGGCACAGAGGAGACAAAGATAGTAGCAATTAGAATCTAATGAACAACAAAATACTAAGCCTCATTTTCATAAGTTTCACCAAGCTAAAAATGCCAGTACAAAATAAAGTTCTAAGGGAAGAAGAAAAAAAAATCCACTATTTTATTTCTAAAGAATTCTTCAGAGCACTACACAGTGTTCCTTGTTTGCAATAATACTGTAGACAGATAAAAAGTCACACAACATTAAGTAATAAAACACAGTAGGTGAGTCGAGGACAATGTTTTTCACTTTGCTGAATGTTTGTCCTTCAAACATCTTACATATGGAAATATTGAAATTACTACCTTGAGCCAGTCTTTCAAGCCGTTTCCCATGCTCTGGAGGAATAGCATACCTAAAATTCACATAAAGAAAGGATGAAATGCTTAAAGACATAAGTACCACAAAAGCCATCACTCATGTATGATAAATATCTAAGAATATAGAAGCCAAAAAGATTAAAGACAGAAAAACTGTACATAAAAAAAAATATACCAATATCTAAGTTAAAAATACAGAGGTTGGGTTTTGGGGTTTGGTTTTGAGAAAAATATTAGCTTATTTCTATTTTAAATATTATATTACATAGTTCAAAAATGTTATAGTCACTAGTTAAAGTCATGTACATTGACAATATTTCATATTATTAAACCACTCCAGTTAAAAAAGATACATATACCTTAATTTTTCAAATTAAACAAAACCACATAAAATAAGTCTAATTTATACTAGTTTAATTGCTTTGAATTTTAATATGCTTCAAAAGAGACAAGGATTCAACAGAAAAATATGATCATTAAACATCTCTACATTTTCCTATAGCCAGTGCTGTGGAATAAAAGGGTTACTTGCCCATGTAGAATCATTACAATAGGAGTTCGAGATTATTAAAGAAATACACTTTAAAGAATTGTATATATCTTAGAATCCCTCTGTTCTTACAATAAATTAATTTTTAAAAAATTCCATATGCTATCTGCAACAACTCAGTAACAATACAAAAGAACTAGAATAAACCTCATGTTATTTTTCATGTTTACTGAAGCCAAAAAATAGAAAACTATTGAAAAGTTGTTTCCTTTCTGCTTTTCTTTATTATTAACATATTTACTGCACTTCCTAGACATACAGTATGTTTTACTGACTTTAACTACTTTAATATATGATATAAATAGGCTTTTGTTTTAGTGCAATAGCATTAGATTGATTCTTTTCTAAAAAATATGGTTTAGAAAAGAAGAAAATGTATATTCAGCTGTACGACATAGTCCAAATCCACACTGTTAAACTAAGTAAACAGTTTTTCTCTTATTACATTGTGAACTCGTTTCATATATCTCCCCTAACAACTCACTCAGAAAAACAAGTGAATGACCTAGGGCCCTCATTTCGCACAAGAAATAAACAAGAAATAAACATCCCCCTACTTCAACCTCTGTTTTGCATACATAAGGCAATTTTACAATTTTACGCCATTACAACTGAAAGAGCTGCATGGAAAGAAAACCACTACAGAAGTCAGTGTTCTGTAAGATGAACCATAGCAAAACGCATGCCTACTGGAAACCCACTTCATATAGTATTAGAAACTCTCAGTTTGACTATGCTCAATGTTTGCAGTTTCAATCAGAACTTCACTGTCTTCGAAAAATTAATTTTGTTTCTCTCCATTTGTACTTCTAAAGTGCTCATGACTGTTCTCCAGCCTGTATTACACACATATCAGTGCATCCATACTAATCTGAATTATATGTTTGCCACCTTTCACACTCCAGCAGAGAAAAACAGTATGTACAGAATTATATACTGTAGTGTATGTCATTAAATACATAACACCATAAAGTAAAAAACATGAACAGATAGTGTTTATGTCTAAAAAAAATTCAGAACTGGATGCTGTGCTTTGCTTTGCTTTACTTGACTCTAATTGGATTAATATTCTTCCTAAGAAGTTTCTCCTGCAAAAGTACATGTTACTACAATTTAGTGATAACATGCAGCCACGTGCCTCCACTTGTACATATAAGCATATAAGTACTTGTCAATATTACAAAAACGCAAAACTGAATAACTGAGCTCTCAATAAGTCTCTTGGAAAAACAAGATGGGACATGATTTAACTGGACTACTGCTATTTATTTAGATAATCTACAGTTACAAAGCATACAATACATTCAATGCAAGTTGGTGTTTCTCACAGTCTTCATCTGAGGTCTGCGGTAACATCTACTCCTCAGTCCTTTACCTCTTCCCACTGTTGCTATTGCTTGTTGCTCACAGCTAAGACAAGGACTAATGAATGGTGACAGACCACCTTTGTACTATCAGACATGAGGAGTCCCAATGTCACACTTGAGACACTTTGGGATTGGTTCCTAACACAATTTATTAGAAAACTGAGTGACGTGACTCTTGCTGGATTCTTGGTCTACTGTACATTAAACAAAAAGCTCCCAAACTCAAATGACCAAGTCAGAGGAAAAAGTATTCACATTCACTCTTAGTCTCAACAGCTAGCTTATATGAGAATTTGAGCAGTTAAAAGCTTATACAAAAATATTTTTTGTCATCTTGTGTCCAGTTCTCTTTTAGTTACATTACCATTTGTTAGACTTCTCAATCTTAAGGCCAAGCCCAGTCCACTTTAAAGCAAATGTAATGGACATTAAAAGGTAAATCACTAAGAGGCAAAAAGAGTTTTTCTTGGGTAACAAGCAAAGAAACAGACAGAAAGGTAAGAAAAGACAAAAAAGGAAATGTTGATGCTAACTATAATTTTATTAGTTCAGGAAGACATACTTGTTAAATAGTATGAAAAGATAGAAGCTGAAGAGTTGCTGTTCATTGCTAGTCATACTACAAGGACATAAAAAATATGGTACATATATTTGTCGAGTATCGTTCAAAAAGATCTTCTGAAATACATATTAGAGTTCAGTAAATCAAGGCTACTGGTGACAAGATAACTACAAATAAGAAATAAATATTAAATCTAAGCCATTAACTTGTAATTGTTAAACATTTACGTATATGTTTTCAAGATTAATGTTTCTACACTATTTCTCCATATGCTTTAAATAATCACACCAGAAACAACAAATCATTGCTTTTACTTTGCAAAAAAATCAGCAACCAGAAACTCAACGAGAAACGATTTGGGTTCTGTTTTTCCTAAGCCACATGCACGTACAGATAATAATTAACAGCATCAGCCACAAGCAAATTTAGCATTATGTTAAATACTTAACCAAACTGCTTCACTAAAGTCCAATGTTATATATTGACAGGGTAACACTACCTGATTTTTCCTGCACATTCGTATTTTTTTTCCACAGGGGACAAACAAAACAAACAAAACCTCTCTTTTTCTTCTAATCCCTGAGCAAAGTTCCTCCTTTTTATGGAGAACGGCAACTATAAAACAATTGCTCAGTTTCAAGCACAATAACCCTTTCAGGCTGCTGACAAATCACCATGCTGTTTGATTATAGCTGCCTTTTCACAATCAGAATCTTTATTTGTCTACTGTCATCTCTGTGACCCATAATATTCTTATTTCTAACTTTTATGACAATTTGCAGCAAGAAGTGTGACTAATCCTCACCTCTTCTTCTTTGAGTATAAATATCCCACCACCTCCCAGGGAAGTTTTATACATTATTCCTATTTCTCTCACTAAAGGTTTGGACTTTTCTGTAATTTTTCTGAGTTTGTTTTGTTTCCCAGACACAGAACCTAACTAGGAAAAATGCCAATTCTGTCAATGGTATGCATAATTTGTGCTGAGTTTTTAATCACCTGTCCAGATTTTAACTAGTTTTTGTCAGCTGCTGATCACACTAAAAGTCCTGTTAATTCGACCCAGAAGACCCTGGAAGGACCTAGTTGAGTCTCTTTAAATCCATTTACTTTAGTGCCATATCTGTTCTCAATTTCTACAATGTTAGCATCAGTCTGAGTATGCTTTTCTTTCTTCACCATTTTTGTCTGTAATTTTGTGTAATACTAATAGCAGAACACCACCCATTTTTATCCCATCATACTTAAAACACCATGTCTATCTCTTCTGCTACTGGGATGCAAAATCTGAAACAAAATCATGTTTTAAAGACTCCCACACCCCCTACCATGTAACTAACTATCTTTCCTGATTTTTCCACTTCATGAAATGATGTTGGTACACATTCAACATTGGCAAATCCATAAAAGCAGATTAGTCATGGCAATCAAGAGGTGTGAGTAATGTTGCTCATGGTATAAATTCTAGGCAATCTGGAGATCAGGATTTCTCACCATCCAATACCCACTGAAATCATGAAGAGAATTCCTGAACCTAAATCCCTGCTTTATTCTGAATGTCACCACAGAACCATTTCCTCTTACAACCTGAATAAATTGTGAAGTACAGTCTCACTCTCCTAATCCATCTAATTTTGGCTATTCTCTCTTCAACAATCTGGTCTCTTTTTCTTGACATCATCACAAAGATGGAATCATCTTCTCTTTCTGTAGTGTATATTCTCATTTACTTTATGACTGACCAACCCTGCAAGGCATTTTGTGATTTATGAAATACCTTATTAAACAGGAGGGTTTTTTAACATAACACATTGTGCCTTGTCATTTCCAGTCTTTGGAAAAGCTAGAGTGAAGACCGGATGGAATGTCACAGAAAACATATAAACTGATACATAAATTATTATTTATTATAATATTATTATTACATACTGCAAATTCATACTGTGCCCCTCTCAATGGTAAGTAAAAAACTCTGGCTCCTCATGCAGAAAAGAGTTCAGGCCTCCACCCTCAGATATAAAAGGTGGAAAAAATGAGAACAATTTTTTTTAAATATTTATATTTCTAAAGTAAAATACTATATTCTCTACACATCTTTACTCTTCTTTAAAATTTAAAAAAAAATTAGTCCGATTATTACTATATTTGAAATACCCACAGTACCATGAAAATAATTATTTTGTGCCTGCTTAAGAAATACTTCCACATATTCATTATTAATACTCTTCAAGAAGATTTACGTCATTTTAGCACTTAAAAAATTTAGCATCACTGTTTTTCATGAGGTAATTGGCACAAAGAGTAAGCCTTGCTTTCAGATACTTAATAAACTCAGAATTACTTTTTTAAAAATATTTTTTATTCAAATTTTTTTTAATTTAAAAATTTATAATGTAAATTGAAGCATTATCTGTATTTTAGCCAAGGATATTGTACATATACTAATAGTCTAACATTTGAACTACTAACAAAATTCTGCTCTATGCTAGGCATGAATTATCAAGAGGAGTAGAATAGTTTAACATTACAAAATTCCTCAAATTAGTACACAAAACAAAAATAAATTCTCTTTAGTCAGGGCCTATACCCCCAAAACAATAATTCCAAAAGAAGAAAATATTTAACAACAAATACCAGAATGAAGACATTTTTAATACTAATAGGCAGTTCACAGATACCATTACATAATACATCATATCAAAAAATAACTGAATTAATAAAATAGATCATCGATCACACCAACAGTTCATCTTCCTACTAAGACCTTTTCTAAGAAACTGTGATGTAAAATGAGGTACCATCTTCGAGATTTTTCAACTCAGAAAAAAAATGCAAAAGGAAAATTGCAGTAAAAATTCTGCCTAATGGCAATTTCAATTGTCTCTATTCTACTTTCCAGCAAATCTTTCCTCACCCTATGTCACTCTCTTCTGCCCTCATATTAATCTGTTTCAGAGCTTCTGAATTCTTTTCCCTCCTTCAATTTCCTCTCTGTAGCACTATTTTGCAAGTTAAAGAATCTATAAAACATATGTATTACACAAATATATACATAAACACATAAACAGCCCTAGTTCTGATTTTGCAAGTGTTTCTCAGACATGCTTTTCCCCCATGTTTCATACGAGGCAGTCAATGAAGGAATCAGTATACATAACATAAAACTACAGATTTCTTTGCATACCTCTTGGAAGTGCAGAGTATAAGTAATGAAAGTTAATCTATACCTAAACACTGGAGAAAGCTTCAATTCCATAAAGACTGCCATAGCAGTTAGATTTAGCTGCTACCCACAAGTTCTCTTTGTGGCGCTCAGACAGAAGTGGTTGTCCTTTCACAATTCAGAGAAAGTACACTGCATATTAATTTTCCATAACACCAGTATGGTTGTCTTGAAGAACAGCACGTACACCCACTAAAACTAGAAAATATGTATTACTGTACATGTCAGTTTATTTGGTTTTACTAAGCATGCATTTGTCAAATTCGTTCAAATTTAAGAGCAGACAAGACCTTTACTATATGTATCCTAAGATTCAGCTCATGCTCATGTTTCTTGAAGAAAATATTATACTAATATCACATTTAAAAAAGACACATTTTACTGATAAATGAGTAGCTTCAGCATAAATTATTGCAGCATTCCTACAGTAAAGGCGCAAGTGTAAATCAAATCTTTAGTTGTCTTTCATTCAATTTTTGTTTAGTGCTGCATTTCCTAAAAATATGGGCCAACGTGGCCCAGAAAATTAATTTGTATCCACTGTTATTTTTCAAAGGTGAAGAGGTCAGTGTTTAATGATTTTGTTCATTCATAATGTAAACAAGCGTCTGTAAACTAGAAAAGCAATTATCAACTCACACCTCCTTCAAAATACTTAAAGAAAAGAAGATTTCCTATCTTCTTTCCATTATGCCTAAGGACTTTAGGGTTTAAGTAAATGTCTCTACTCCTGGAATTTCACAATATGCAGTGAGATTTTCTTCAAATAGCACTCTTCAAATTCCTAAGAAGCAAAAAAAAAAATTCATGCAATCATTGTATTAGTTAAATGTGTCCTATCATCTTAGAACATTTTGGAATCACCTATCTTTAAACTGATTTTTATCAAAAATACTAATCTTATGGCTAAGACTTTCTTAGTGTGGCTAATTCTATCAAAGCAGCAATTTCACATTTATCAATTCAAAACATGGACCTGCATTTTACCACAACAGGTTACATCCATCTTCACTGCCTTTACTCAAGAGACCCACTATAATAGCAAGTCAACTTAAAGCAATTACCTAAGAAGCAGCATCTGAGCAATTTACCACCCTCAGAGTATAAATACAAAATGTTACACAGGTATTTTTATTTTGTATGGGTATAAAAATAACAAATAATGTTTTATAGAATTACCAGCTATAAATTTTCTACCCAAGTCTGGATGACTAGAAAACCCCAGAATTGAACTAAAATCATTAGAAAGATATATAACATATCTTTTATCTTTCTAATGATTTTATGTTCTCTTCACAGGTGTTTTGGGGGAAAAAAAGAAAAAAGATTTTATGATCAAATGGAAAACATTCTTCTCATATACCTTGGATACACGTATATCACAACTGATACGTATAATATTAAACCAGCTTGTCTATTACAGCTGTTCAACCAAAAATTTAAGATTATGGAGAAAGGACAGCAGAAGTTTTGTACATAGGAAGTACCTTTAACACTTGTTCTTGCTTCCTACTGGTCCTACCAAGTTCGCATTAGAGAATGACTCTGATTCAAAGAAGCAACTAAAGGCACGTTTAATACAAAACATGTTATGCAGTCCCAAAGGGCAAATGAACGAAAGAAACTGATTTCAAAGAGTTCTTTCAGAAGTTCCTCAAGTAGTCTTGAGGTTCCCAACTCCTTACCTATATTGGATCTTTAAAATATTTTTTTAAATATTTTTCTGTTGAACTCCAATAAGCATTATGTACTTATCTTTTTCTTCAAAAATCAAAGACTGCATTGGTGTGATGTTCATCACCAACCTCACATATTTCACAGTATTGAGCTTAAAAAAAACCCTCACAAAACTACTATCTTAGCTTTTCAGTATAGGTTACCACTGTGAAGCAATTCTACCCCATCAACAGATGGTTTAGTCAGCTGAGATATCATCTTTCACAAAAATTTAAACTTGCCATGACTTTGGCTCCCCGAAATGGAGATAATTAATACTGTAGAGATCCATGTCTTCAGTGTGCCATGCAAATGTTGTTTTCCACATGCCAAAATACAGATATGGTGTATTTACACCCTCGATAGAAATTCCACACTCTTCTCCTACAACATCCAATATTGTATTAAGACGGGCAATATTCCATTCCTTAACACCCTGAAAGAGATACATAATAAATATACTGATCAGTTTATCAAGTAATGCAACTTTATATAATAGTCTCAGTCAAAAAATACACATCCGATCTAGCCCTTCAAAAACTGTATGTTCATATAAATTTGTAAGCACTTGAGAAGACAGTTGAAGTTACTAGAAGAAAAATTCTCTTGACCTTAGTAAGTTTTAGATAAAGTCTCAAGTCTGAGATGTTCAGGGCAGAGAATATAAGGAAGTTCATATCTGATGATATGAACATAGATCTTAGTACATCAAATCTAACATGGATTAAAACACCATACACAATAGAAATAACAGCTGCAGACAAAATCTGATGAGTTGATAGCTGGAAGCCATTAAATTTCACTGGGCCTATCTATGCTTTTTTATTACTTAAAAAGTAATACCAAACAGCATGAAAAATGATTTAAAAATTTATTTTACATGCATATATTTACCATTTCTCTGTAAAGTATACAAACATAAAATGATTACATCACTTCAGAGATATTTCTAATCATGATGTACTGCAGAAATCTATTATTTCCTGGGATTTAAGCTGTTTCCTTACATTATTGCCCATAAAATCTGTATATTGAAAGTCATTCTGAAAGCAATGCAAGTGGTTTTTGTTGTATTTCAGATTCAATCACAAAGTGCGATTCTAATTCCAGGTAATACAGCATGTAAGAGACAGTATAACCAAGATCAAAGCTACAAAACTGAAGAGAAAAAGATTAGACTTCATTATAACAGCAATTATTAGCACCTCTAGGGAGGACATTAGCTGGTGCTCAAGCAGTAAGAAAAACAAGAAATATAATCAAAACTATTAAAAACTCAATTCAGGCAAGTTTTCTTGGAAAGACAGCCTCTAAGCACACCCTTAACCGTAAGCTGCTCTGCACACCACCCAGCACCGAACCTACAGTTCTGGTAACCTTACTCGTTGGGGAATAAAATAATGGCAGACTGCAGACCTAATGCATCTGATTAAGGCTAAGTAACATGATGACATTCAATAGTTGGACAGTCGGAGAAGAAAGAATATAGGTTAAAGCAAGAAGTAATGAAAATTTAATACTCTCAGTTTTCATCTCATTTTTTGAGATTTTTATGTCAAGCGTGTTAAGTATAATGTCTGTATGAAGCTCAGAATTGTTGTTATTGAACAGGCACTTCTGACTGCCTTAATAAGTGAAATAGTCATAGAGGCAGTCAGAAGTACCTGTTCAATAACAATTCTTAATAAGTGAAACAGTCAAAGGAGTAAAGGATGTTTACAGAATGAATTCAATTCAGACAGTAATTTTTGTTCTGCTTTTAAAATTAAAGCCTTGGCTTTGATGTATTTGTTAAACATAAAGGCACCTGAAATTTTAAAATTAAAAAAATATAAAATTCATATGATAAAAGAAAACAACACTAATATGAACTCAAACAGTAAATGCTGGTAAAATCTGCACTTTTCAAATATAAAAAGCAGCAGCAGCAAGTTAACAGAACTGTAAAATAAAATATTTGTTTGAAGAAACAACTTTAACCAATAAGTCCTCAAATCAGTTTAAAATTTTATTTTTTTAAAAAACATATACAATTTTTCTCTCTTTACAAGTTGTGCAGTCCATTTGGAAAAACAAATTAATTCACCAAACTAAGAGCAATGTCTCAATCATGTAGGCACATATAGAGGGTTGGAAGAAAACATTTTTACTCGTAAAAATCAACTGTTAATCTAGGCGGTCTACTCTGACAGTGGCCAAAAGTAGACAGGAAACAGTGTAAGTAAAGCAGTACTTCCCCAGAATACCCTTACAACCCGCAGCAATCTGCAGTTTGAAAGTTTCTCCAGACGGAAGTGTTACCTTTCTACTTAAAAGGATCACATGGGCTTTTTTACCCATTATTCATCCCATAACATCCTTTCACCCATGTAAGCTCTTAGCAACCATAACATCCTGAATTAAGTAATAGATAAGAGAATAAATTACTTTTTTATGACACATCTCATGTTTTCACATTCTGTTAAGACGTATCGCAACTAGTCACCAAGGAAACTGCTAATGGTTTGTCCTAAAACAAAAGCAAATCCTCCCATGGAGACCAATCCTAGGACAAATAGCTTGTTTCAAAATACCAAACATACCAAATAAACAATCCACAACTTCTACACAAGATACATGAGCTATTTCCTTCTCCTTCAGACTATTTTGGACAAATACTCTTAGCTAAAAAGGAAATAGTCACTCAAACTGACTGAAACACTAAAGTCACACTGATTTATTTCCGCTCCTCCTAATTCCTCGAACTTAAAAAATTAAATCAATTTTATATTTATGCCTAAATTGTTACCAGTAATTATCACAAATTATTATTAAATATGTTTCTTTACCTAGCAGACCTCTCTATTTTTAATATTCCAAAACATTAATGCTTACACAATTTTTTAAGTAAAATATCCGTTCTAACTTTTCCAGTAGTTACATAACTAGTTTCAGACTTAACAATTGCTATGCACACTAAAAGGATCCCTGCTGTAAAAGAGCAGTTTAACAGGTGAATACATAACAATACTTCTCAAAATTAAAGTATATTTTAGCAGGTTATGCTATGTTTAATAACCATTGTTAGAACATCAGTACATATAGCACTTGACCATGAGGTGTATCTGGTAGTTTCTTACAAATACATTCAGACATTATAAACTATTCAATGTTAGGAAAATATAAAATATTTATTCTGCTCAAAATATCACAATTATATCCAAATATCATCATAATTTCAAGAGAATGTGTAACAATAATATTTCTAATTTATCCACATTTCTAATGGTAGATTCTTTAAAGAATACCTGTCATCATTGACAACTGTACCATATAATCCAATATCTGGAAAAAAGCTGAAAACAACATATTTTACTTTCTTTAAACAGACTTGAAACACCTTACCAATTGTCATCATAGCTACACATATTACATTTACTTTGTATTTCCTGAGAGAAATATTATAAGGTAAACAGTGGCCTATACAGAAAACCATTATTCCAATATTCACTAATTTTGAAGATGATTCAGACTTACTGTAAATTACTATCCAGACTTTTTATTACTCTTAACAGCTTTTGCATCTGCTTATAACACAACATGGAGATAAAGTGGGACATTTGACAATAAATTCTCATCTGAACACTTGCACAGTTTGGAAGGAGCTTACCCATTGTTTTTTCAAAGACAAAGAATAATCTAAATCTCAGTATACTGGTAAAAAGTGAAGTTCAGGGTTGTAAGCAGAGACCTCTTTGCACATAAGAATAAAATGGACTCCAAATGCAGTGATTTTTTATTAATTTCATTTTTTTAGAAGTACTTACAAAAGTGACATGATGCTATTCTTTGTACTTTATTTAAACAAATCAACTAAGACTGTGATGTATTCTATTTTTAAGAACATGATTTCTGTATGTATACATTATTACACACAATCTTTTTTCAGTGTTTAATTTTTCCTGTGATAATCTCAGGGCTTCATTTCAATATTAATCTGGCAAACAAGATATTAGTTGTACAAGTAAGATTAAAAAGCCCTTATGACTGACTATAATAGCTCAAATAATAAAGAAGAGTAAAAAAACCAATTTAAGAGAGACTGGAAAGGAGTAGGAGAAACATTATAGAAAAATTGTGTGCTTGGTAAACCACTCCTCATTCCAAACAATCATTCACTCACACCAATGAATATAATAAACTGGCAGGTTTTTACTGTGCCTTCGAAGTCATTAAAATACAGAAAGAAAAATGCTGCAAAGAGAATCTCTGCACTATAAACACATAGATTAGGAAATACAAACAATCTCCTCATTATATCTGTTTTTACTTCACAGTATTTTTAAGGATATAACCATTGATTTTGCAGCACTCTTTTCAAGAGTGGGCAAGTAGATTCTTTGGAAATGCAGGCTAGAACTAAATATCTTAATGACTGCTCATAGTGATCTCAACTATGAGCAGATCACAGAGAAAGAACATCATGGAATCACAGAATCATTTAGGTTGGAAAAGACCTTGAAGATCATCAAGAACTATCATTAACTTGGCTCTGCCAAGGCCACCACTAAACCATGTCCCTAAGCATCAAGCCTATGGGTCTTTTAAATATTCCCAGGAATGGTGGCGTAACTACTTTCCTGGGCACCCTGCTCCTGTGATTAGTAATCCTTTCCTTGAAGAAAAGTTTCCTAAAATTCCAAGGTAAACTTCCCCACTGGCACAACTTGAGACAGTTTCCTGTTGTCCTGCTGCTTGTTACTTCATAGGATTAATGTTCCAGACCCTTCACTAGATTTGTTGCCCTTCTCTTGAAATGCTTCAGCAACTCAATGTCTTTCTTGCAGTCAGGGGCCAAAACTGAACACAGGATTTGAGGTGTGGTCTCACCAGTACAAAGTACAGGGGGACAATGACTTGCCTGGTCCTGCTGCCCACACTATTGCTGATGCATGCCAGGATACCATCAGCCTTTCTGGCCACCTGGGCACACTGCTGGCTCATATTCAACCACTGTCCAGGTCCTTTTCTGCCTGGCAGCTTTCCAGCCACTCCTGTAGCACTGCCTGGGGTTTCTGTGATCCAAGGGCACAACTCAGCCTTGTTGAACCTCATCCTATCGACCTCAGACCATCAATCCAGCCTGTCCAGATCCCTCTGCAGAGCCTTTCTACCTTCCAGCAGAGCAACACCCCAGCCCAGTTTGGTGACATCTTCAAACTGACTTGAGGGTGCCCTCAATCCCCTTGTCCAGATTATCAAAAAAGACATAAAAGAGGACTGGCCCCAATACTGAGCCCAGGGGCCACTACTTGTGACTGCTCCCCAGCTGGATTTAACTCCACCCTCTGGGCCTGACCATACAGTTTTTAACCCAGCAAAGAGTAGAAGAGTAGACCTATCTCAATTTCACTTCAGAATTCTCTACCCAACCCCTGCTCCCTGTCCTATATTCCCCACTCCCACACAAGCAGCTCAGGGAAATGGAGAAGGACGGTTGCTTTCAGTTCATCCCACATTGCCTCTGCCACTTCTTCCGCTGCTCCAACATGGGGTCTCTCCCACAGGAGACAGTCCTCCACGAACTTCTCCATGTGAGTCTTTCCCACTGGCTACAGTTCTTCACAAACTGCTTTTAGCTCCTGGGTATTTCCTGTTAATGCTTGAATTCTGTCAGAGGATCCTTGCTCATCCATGCAGACCTCTGGCATTTTTTTCCTGACTTCCTGCTGGGAGGAGGACTACTCTTGAGCTTAGAGAAGGTGAAACACCAACCAGCTTCCTTGGGCCCTTGTTTCCTCCAGGGCCTTATCCACTGGGACTCTAACAAGGAGATCACTGAAGACACCAAAGTCTGCTCTCCTGACAGCCAGGGTTGTGGTCCTGTCTTTTGTCCTGACATGTCCCCTTAAGATCCCAAACCCTGCCATCTCACGGTCACTCTGCCAAAGCTGCCCTTGACATTCACATCCACAACAAATCCCTTCTTGTTTGTGAGAGATCCAGCAGACAAGTTTGGTCAGGAAGTTGTTACTGATGCTCTCCAAAGACTCTTGGATTGTTTATGCCTGCTACTCTCCTGCAGCCTTAGGTTTAGCTACAACCCAAGTGCCATCCCTAACTCATTTAGAATCCAAGTTCTACACATAATGTCAAGGTGCTGCTTTAAAATCAAGTTGGCTACTCTGTCAAGGGATATGGCAGGAAATTCAAGTACATCAGTTGCTAGAGCAAGTAACACATTAGAGATGTACCTACAATTTAGCAAAAATAACCGTTAGCCTACAAACTCCACTGAATCAATCACTCTTGTATTACTAATCAAATATGCTCCCCATACCTTACACATGGGAGAAGGTAGGCACTAGAAGTTGTCTTATCAGGAGAAATAAAACTAAAAGAAGAAAAACGGAAGTAAAGTGCTATCTTCAAGACAGTAGCTGAGTCATGAGAGAGACACAAAACAATATTTTTATGTGCTTCTTCCAAACTTGGTTTTTCTCTACGGAATACCAGATGCAATTGTCAGCACTGAAGTCAGATATGTTTTATGACTTGATTCATTATAAACTTCAAATCAGTCACTTTTCTCTGGACCTTTGAAACTAGGAAGATTTTCCCCACCTAGTAGCTAGATCAGTCAATGTAGGGGTCACGATTTTTCCTGAGTCACCTACATTGTCATTATCCTACAAAGTACTGCAATTAAATGTAACAGCAATTAGAATGTATACAGGACAGAATAATATTTCAAGCAAACCTTGACTTGGAATTTATTTTCTATAAAGCTCTATAGAGTGCACAGAACACTTGTTCTCATAGATTATTTCCTTATTTGTAAAGACTTAATCTGAATTCAAAGATGTCAAGATATTTTAAATAAATAACAAAGATTCTGGAATAATTAAAATATCACAAAGGTAAACTTTAAATCATTGATGGTAATTGTCAAATTTCAAAGCATGCATTGATAGCTTTGTTCTTCTTTTGTTTGGTTTGTGAGTTCTTTTTCTGTTCCATGTAACACAGGCTTTATAACTTTGCCCCATCTTCCAACCCCCTCAGAACCTGTCATCCTCTGGTTTTAAAAAAATCAAATACTACAAAATCTATGATCTCTCTGGCACAATGCAAGCAAAGTGCTGGATTCCACAAGCAACAGTATGTTTCTTAAATAATACTAATAGTAAAAATTAAGGCTTCATCATGCTTCAGATATAGATGTCTCAATATAAAATTGACTGTCACCAATGGAAAAGAAAACGTAATTTGTAAACTGTTAAACTGAAGAATACGGATTTACAGCACAGCAGTATTTCTCACTAATTTTGATGACCCATGTAGACATATAAACCACATTTTCACTAAGTTCCTTGTGGTTTTCCACCTAGAACTCTGTCAGATACTTACCTTAAATGTAACACCTCTAACAATCTTTTTTCTTTAAAATGCATTTTGTAGAAGGTATGCATTTGTTTTGTTTCTCGCAAATAGGCTGCTATGATAAATTAATCCTATCGTTCCCTTTCTGCCCTATGGTGCCAAAAATGTCAGTAATTTGTATTCATCTCCTTTCCACAAATAATGACAATCCCGAAGGAAACCGAACAAAACATAAGAACAACCTCTAATTTCAAACAGATTCAAGAAGATCTTTTCTTAGCACTATCTTCATGCATTAAAACATGAAAAATATTAGTTGTGCAAGTACACCATCTGCTGGCCAAGAAGTAACTGTGGTAAAATTATTCTAAGACAACATTTTGATCACTGTAACTTTCTCACCAACAGCTTGGTACCAGAGTTTTCTTCCTTCTTTTCCTTTATACATCACTGGGCTGTATACCATCACAGTGGCTGACATTAACTGCTCAAGTCTGCTCACATTCCTCAATGTCAATTCCTCTCACTAACATTTCTCCTTTGTTATATATATTTAAATAGTACCCATTTTATCACACACATCAAGGTTTTTTTAGTCTACTTTTTATTGCTTTCTTCCCCACTCTCTGCAACTTCATTTCAGTGCTTCGTTTCCTTCTCCTATGCATATAGCATCTGAGTTAGGATCTCTGAATGCTGCCCTGCTCACTTCCCCATTTGCTTTTTTTTCTGACCTCCCTTCCTCAGCTTCCCAATCTAATGAGTGCATGAGAATGAAATCTCTGACCTTCTCTTTGACCAGTCAGCATTTCCAAATTGGATGTTACTGCATTCATTTCTTTGGAAATGTTGCTCATGCAACAGCAAACTTAAGATACTGAAGACGAAAGCAAACATAATCAAAACAAAGCATATATTTGTGAAAAGTTATACCATAAGTATAAGAAAAAAAATCAGAGAAGAAAAGGGGCAAACTTCTATTTCTTGAAACAAAGACTGTTTTCCTGTGCCTTATTTCAGTCTTTACAAAGCAACAGCCATCTAGAATGTCTCTTTGCCAAAACATTCCAAATTAGAATCTTCAATTATTCTCTAACTTATTTTTTAAAATAGCTATTTGGACACACAACAGAATTTGGACTTGCTACTTTCTCTAAACAATAGACCACTGGACATCTATAGCTATGTTTCAAAGATCACATACTCAGTGCAAAAATTGAATTGCCTTCAGCCATATTGGCTGACCATATTTATCTTTGGACAGTTCTCAAGTAATCTGTCTTCTGTGAAGAAATGTGAAATACTAGTAGAGCCTCAGACCATCTGCCACAGGGAAATCATACTTTTTTTTTTAACGATCGGAGAAGGCAGTTACATAGAACATCAAGAACTCCACACATGGTAGATTCTTTTAATATTTGCCCTGTATTTTTTAAATCCTCAATTTTTTTCTGAAATGCTAATATTTCTTCTGTTAGTCTGATTACTTAGATAATCCCTCCAAAATCTAGCTCCTATCGTTACTTACATAGCCTAACAGATATCAATGACTATTGTGTAATTCTTTGGATTAATGAGATTTGTGCTAAGAGTCCCTTTATTATCCATAGAGATCTTGGCAAGTAACCAGCAACATTTATTTCCTTAGGAAATTTCAATTTTGTCTGTTTCAACTGAAAGGTAAACAGTAAGTGTAAGCACATTTCCAGGAAACTGCAGGCATTCCAAACATGTATAAAGTACAACTATTTTAATCATATTCCTCAGCGAAAGAGGAAGAAATGTAAGTATCTCATCTTTTAATTTTAAAGTAAAAGCTATTTAAAATATTTCTAAATTTCCACATAAGCACACAGAAAATACATACTAAAATGTTAATAAACAAATAAATAAGTTGGAAGTAATCTTAAAGTTCTGGAGAGTTCAAAGTGAAGAAAGGGAGGAGTCATGATCTGGAAGAGTAACAATATTCTACCGTCTAAAGACAGAACTGTCTGACTCTTGCAGGTGTAGAGTTAATTTCAACCTTTCTTAGAGTCTTTAAAGTGAGTAACACAAAGATTTCAAAAGACAGATTCACCGTCATAAAACAAGACTGTATCCTTTAAGTACAGTACCCTTTAAAAGAGGGCGGGAAGACACAAACTTCATAAAAAGCTATGCATACTTCATCATAAATGCTCCCATTGATATCTGCTCCATAAATTGGTGCCACAAAAGTCAAGTTTCTCCAGTATTTACGCTCCAGATCTTCGTAATCTGTGTATCTTGGGGTGCGGTATCTGTAAAGGAAGAGGTAGGCAAAGGTTCATCACAGTCTTTCAACAACCACCTTCACAATGGACTATGCATCTGAACCTGAAAATTGAATTCTAAGAGATCAGTTTATTTCAAATTTTTCAAAACAGAGGAATTACTACTTGTCCTGACTTCTTAGTGTCATAATTAACCATATCATGGAACCTTCTGCCTGACAGCCCCAGTAAGTGAAGTTATCCACCTACCCAAACAACATTTGCTTCAGTCTCCAGCAGCTAATCAGGACATCTACTGACTGTCCTCAGGTTGAACCCTTCCCTTTCATTTCCCTTCCGTAAAAAAACACGCATGGAAAAGTCATGCAATTAACAAGTATTTATTATTTTCCTACCTCACCACCAGTTCTGCAAAGACACAGATATAGGTCTTGCGTAAGCCTGCCTCAGAACAGCTCAAACTTACAAAATCAGCCCATGCATCAGCCCTGCCAGGCAAGACCAGTACTTTCTTCTCTTCTTTCTTCCCCAGTAAAACCTTTCCAGAAAGTTGCAATATTTCAAACAATTGATACCAAAAATTCTACAATGCAGAGAAAAAATATTTAAGGGACTTTTTACTCCTTTATAACAGCAAAAGATACCATACTTATATGCTTAATTGAAGGTACCTAATAAACACATGCTTAAACATATTATGTATATAGTTCTAGGAGGTTACTCGTAAAATCTTGTGGGAACACAACACAAGCACTCTACCATAGAAACATCTATCAATAGCTTTGCCTCAGGATCCTTTGTCAGACCTCTGTTCTCCCATATTCAGGTCTTTAGAAAAGAAAACTTGTTCCCCCTTTACTCCAACACTGAGAAATGAAGTTTCATATTAGAACTGCCAACATGCTACACCTGAACAACTGACAAGAAAATCCAAACATACAAGACTTAAGGAGACCAGGTAGACTTACACCATGTAATAACTCTTAACAGAGACAAAAAAACTTAACAAAAATCATCTTAACCACAGCATTCTCAGCAAGAGAGTTGTTTATTATTCTTCATGATATAGCTCCAGAAATCAGATTGTTTATTTCTGCTTGGCACTGAGAAATATGCATACATGAACTCCTTGATTACAGGATGCAGCTATGCCCTTATTTCCCAGAGGTCAAGTAGAGAAGTATTTTGGTTCAATGGTGAGTTGCACATGTCTAAACAAATAAGAGATGAAATCCATTAGACTGAGTACACATGATCTTTTTAAGGGCAACTATGATTTAATTTAGATGTTCAAGGTACTTCTCTCTTACTCAAAGGAAATAGATAACATCACAATAGTCAAGAAAAGCGTCATTAACAGATAAGTCTTCTCCATTAAGGAACAAAATTATTTTTATGGGAGAACAGAGGCTCTCAGCTACCTGATAGTTTAATACAGACTTAGAGTGTCATGAGAGGTTATATGACACATTTTCTCAAGAGCAGTGATGAATATTTAGAACAACCTACAACTAAGTAATAAATAAGAAGCCGTCCCAACAGTTCTTAATTTTGTCTATGAAATTAAGTTGACATCTGATTTCAGTAAAAACCAGGAAAACTGAAATCAGAAACACTTCCAATATAGCGTCCATAATAAAGAATAATAAACATCATGATACATACTAAAATCTTCACAGTTTTGCATTATGAAACTATTTTAACAAATTAGTGTCTCAGTTTATTATAGGTTAACAAAATGTAAACTTTCTAACATCGATGAAAAAGTATAATTGAAAATGACATCAGATACCACAGAGTTCTTATGTCCTATTCCCATCTTTAACAGTTACTAAACAATTTTAAAAACTACAAGATAGGTTCCCACTCCCACTTAACAGAGAAAGAGTACTGTAAGTGTGATAAACACAATTTTTCACAAGTAATATAAGGGTGGGAATACCAATCCATTTTAATTGAAGAAAAAAGATTATCCATTTTGCACTATTGTAAAGGCATGGATATCATGGGACACAATTGCTGATGAGTCTCCTTAAAAACTTTTCATGTCCTAGTTTGTCCTGATCTTGACAGTAGCTTCTCTTCTTACATCTTAATTCCTTAATTAACTTATGAGACAAACCTTGCTTTAAACTAAGGCAGCGTTACCTTCCTCTATTCAAATATCTTTTCTCTCTAAGATGCTTTGACTCACCTCCCAGAAACTATTTCCACTCAGTTTTGAGAAAATACAGAAGTAAAATGTATTCTTTCCATGTGGTCAAAAGGACAAGGAAGAATTCCTTCTATCCGTTCCCTCTTCTTGGAATGCTCACCAATTTGAAACTTTTCAGTACAGTGCTGAGCCCTCTATAAACTCTCCCAGAATATCCATAACTAAAACATAAACATTCACTAGATGCAGCTAAGTTCTCTTAGATTAATGCTAAACTTCTGGACACGTTAAAAAAGATGCTGGGTTTTTTTCAGAATTACATGATGATAGGCCATTCCAGTATCTAGGAATTAAATATTAAACATGAATAGGTGTAATCAAATTAAAACTCAGATGTTAGTCTGTATTATCTTCACTATTTTCTACATAAGCATCTTTTAGAACAGAAAGAAAAAAGGCAGACAGAAAGCATCATGTCTCAGGTTTTCTAGATGCTTTCTTGCTGTCATGGTATCAGATGCCTTCAATAACACAAACAAAAACAATATTCACATTGTTGTACCCCTAGGAGCCAGGAAAAAAGTAAAAAAAAAACCACCACTTGCCTTGCACAATTCAAAGAAATCACAATATGTGAAGATAAATATTTGTCTTTCTAAGCAAGACATACATACTTGTCACTGTTGGCCAGTTGCTTGAACTCCTTCACTGTCATGGGCTTTTTCTGAATGTTGTACTGTGTGAAAAGCCCCGACTGGCCAGTGACTATCTGTTGAATTGGAGCAGGAATCACCAAATCTTCAATATCATTATAATGTTTTCTTGGCTTCCACTCCTTTGGTGGGATAACCTTTAAATTCAAAAATAAAACACAGGACATCACAGTTGCTGTATCAGTTCAAAACATCCTGGAAAAAATTGAAAGAACCAGTCAAATATGACCACATGATCAAATGAACACTTGCTTACCAGCTGTTTCACACTAACTAATTGAAGTGCTCCTAGATAATGTAGAAAGCAACTCAAAATAGGGATAGTATCACCTCAATTCACAAGCAGCAACTTGCTCATCTACAGCAATTCAATCAAAGACAACTGTGCAAACATGTTTTAGAAAGCCTTACAATTGAAAAATAGTTCAGAATCCATGGTATGATACATATTTAGTGTTAAAAAATGCATGGATGTTGCATTTGGGGATATAGCTTAGTGGTGAACATGGTGGTGTAAGGTCAATGGTTGGACTCAATGATCTTTGATTCTTTTTCAAATCTAACGATTCAAAGATATAAAATTTTTATCGCCAATTAAAATACTCATACAAAAAACTGGCACTCCCCCGTCTAAATGTTATTTGGTATAAACAGTATATATAACTTTATTTTTTACTGAAAAGTGAAAAAAGTATAGCTATTTTAGAGACCTTAAGATTTGAGAGCCTGTGCAACTCACTCCCCATAACACTGCAGGATGCAACTCTGTTAATAGTAAGAGTTTGCACTAATTTAGATATATTAGCTTTTATAATTACATGATTTAATCCTCATAATTGAAGATTAAAGCTATGTGCAGATTTACTAATTGTAAAGTTAACATATTTATTTCAAGTACCACAAAATTGCTCACAGTCTATGAGAACTACTCAGCAGATTCCAAAGTGTTAGCAATAGTCACTAAGAATTTCAAAGAAGACTGTAGTAACACCAGTGTTTTTTAACAGGGCTGTGTAATTTTGAACATTCTTTGCATGTATTATTTTACCTGAAAACAGATAACTCTCTAATGTTAACTGCATCACTTATAAAACACAGGAACAGAAAATTTTTATATATATATTTTTGGTCTGGTTTTTGTTTTGAACTTTTACTTGTCCAAAGGCTCAATGCCATGTTTTTTGAATCACTCATTATATTCATTCTTTTCTGCCATGCTCAAATCAACTTTTCACAAGTCACAAATAGGCAAATTGTAATGCCAATGTACTCAAACAGTTTATTCCTCAAAGAAATCCAGTCAAGACCATTTGTGCTAACAAGCATAAAGCAAAGGACAAACATCAAGCTGAAGAAAAGTTTTAAGAAAACAACATACTTCCAAACCTAAAGTTTTTAATTCAAACATTTTTATGCAGTTTTTACATAAATGCAACTCCCTCTTTTCCTTTTTTCCTTCTCAGCTTCCATAGGACTTCCGCTGTACAGGGACTGCTTAGCAAGTTGATTGCTTTTAGAGAAAAAAAGTAAGCGAATCATCTTGTGATTCCTACTTACTTCTTTCACAGAAATCTTAAATTATATGCACATCAATAAAATACAGAATGTTAGTCTGAAGTTAGTTTGATGCATTGAGAAGTCATGCATCCAGAATATATGCATAGAAATCAAATACGTGCACAGAGATTTCCATTTTCATGATTATTAAGCATAAAGTTGTAGGTTTGGTTCAACTATAAGAATACTGAAAAGCAATATTTGCATTATCCTACTTAATTCAAGGTCAGTGTGTTTTAAGCAATAAAAATATTTTTGTGAATACAGGTTCAAAGTATCTCCTTCCAGCTAACCGGAGTGTGTTTATTGCTGTTGTAATTAGTGTAGTGGTTAAAGAAGTGAATTGTCTGGGGATCAATAAGCAAAGTACCACTTTAAAAGAAAATAAAAATAGAGCTCCTGCCCAAAGAATTTGCATTTTCTAACAAAGATTAGGACAAGGACTGAAAATGTTAAAATATCATGTCCAAAGCGACAGGCATTAGACAGTGTAAGAGCTGGAAATAATGACCAGATCTCTGTGACCTGTCCCACTGAAGCCTCTACATATTCCCTTTAGTAAAAATAACCTCTTCAAAGTCAGGCAAGTTAGGTTTATTCAATGGAAGCAACTTAGATCAAATTCATCAATCAAGTTTTTGAAAGCTCAAATATGAAAAAGGAAAAACCTAAGGTAAGACTTTCTCATTTACTTATTTATTTATCCATTTATCAAAGATCTTAAGCATATTAATACTGTCTAGTGTGATATGCATTCAGATTTAGATACAGATGTCTTAGTTATATCAGTCTCCTCCATGAAGACAGCACTTTAGTACTACTGAGGTTACTGCAGAGTGCTCTCAACACATACATTTCTGTTAAATCCTCTTTCATACACTGGTAATCTCCTGTTGTACATCTGACTCTGAATGGCACTGCCTACTATTTCTGTGTAACTACTTCTCCCCAATTCCTCTGAAAATTGGTTTTCTTGCACTTGTCAATATCTATTTTCAGCATAATATTCCAAAATTACTTTTCTACTTGCCGATGTGACTGAAAATTAATTTAACTATTTTGCTCTATATAAATTCACTTCGAGACTTCAAAACAACTCTTATTCCAGTAAAGACCAATTAATCTATCAGTGTGCCTTGCTTTTCATTTGTTCCATTCTTTCCAGTCCTTGTTTTCCAAGTCTTGGACTCTCTGTAACAGTAAGACTAAAATACATTTTTTTTTTATGCCTAAAGCTCATTCCAGACTTTCAAAAGCCTAATGGTGATTTTTTTGCCAATATTGCTTATCTAGTACCTTAATCACTTGTTCCAGACATAGTATTAGGAACTTATGGGGTCGTTGTGGTTTTTTTAATGTTTTATTTTTCATAGTCCCTCCCTCCTCCAATACGTGCAAGCCTTACAGTAATTTTATCCCAATTAACGTACACATATTCTCCTACTCAGGTAACAGGTCTTCTCCCCTTACACCTTCACATTTAACCTAAAGTGTTGGATACACCTATTGTGATTGTGTTCTCTGTTCAGAAGTTAAATTACTGTTTCTGCATATGCATATAGTTCTTCTGGTAGTTGTTATTCTCTTCACATTAATACTTCAGTACATGCTAGACTTCAGAAAAATTAGGTTCTTTGTAAGGTAATTTTATATTACTATCAAAACAGAAAAAATGTATTTTTTCTTGTTATTTTAAAATTAATTTCCAAAACCCAGAAAATATCCCTTTGCAGCATGAATTATTCACTTGCTAAGACTTGTTTTAAAAAATATTTAGTTGGTTTATTTTTATTTATGAATTCTTTTGAGATATACCAGAATATAGTGAAAAACAGAACTCAGAATTCTCAAGACAAAGTAGTAATACATAGCAAGTAACTGTCAGACTAAAAACAGCAAGAGATGCTATTCAAGAAAGCAAGATGATGTCACTACAATGCATTTGAAATTTACTGTCCAAAATGAAAGGAGTGCAATAGTTCATCCCCACACAAACAAATAGGTTCCATAATACAGACAGTTGAATATAGGAAAAATTCAGCTCAGGTTTTCCACTGTTGTCTATTTATCAAATTTCTACTTCTGTTTGCAGAGAAGAGTTTGAGACTATGACCAGTATGTACTCTATCCTCAGAAATAGAAAAAAAAAAAAATCAAATAACATACAAGGTTTCCCAAGTGTTAGGAGTTCAGTTTTGCTTTGCTTTACAGGAAGTAGGATGAAGGAGTGGGCAGGGGAAAACCAAGAATTGCAAGTCTTGTTTCTCTTCTCTCAGATTCTAAATGTCTTGACTATGCAACATTTGCTTAAAAACCCAGTGATGGAGATGGCTAAGCACTTACAATAATTAAGCTAGTACTTCTGGACCTGCACCGGGTGCTGCTGATTTGAAAGGCAGCAAAACAGATACAGTGTAAACACTTTTGTGACGTATCACTAAATTACATCAGACTTAACCTCTAACAATCACTCTCTGTGAGGGGAGGGACACCTGCTGTAAGGTCCTGGATGTGCACACGTTCAATGGGCAATACAATCGCAGATAGTGTCCCTCCAATGCTCATTAATAAAGAGATAACATGATCACCCTTAAAAAGAAAACTATTTCCATTTAAACAGTGCCTCACATACGTCGTTATTGACTGTACTGGGATTATTTGCTCCAGTAAAGCTTTACATAACCCTAAAAGATCAGGTTCAACACCTGTTCAAGATTACTTTAATTTACACTGTCAACTACCTGTTTAGTTCTGATTTGACAAAAACTAGTTTAAACCTACACAAAATGAGATCCTATTTTGCTACTGTAAACTTGTAAACAATTAACAGTTAGAAAACAGTACACATCATCCTCATTAGTCTGCACAAAACATCAGAGATACTGAAAGGTTCTTCCTTAAAACAGTAACAAATCAGCACCTATTCACTGAAAATCATTTAGAATGTCAGAAACTAAAAAGGTCACGAATTGTAATCAGCAAAATACAAATACTAGGAGAACAGGTATTAGGATCAATCTTCCTTCTACGTTACCTTTGCAACTCCAGCCCTATGAGCACCCTGTGATTCCATGTACGCTAAGTATTTGTTGAATTCCCTGAATTCATCAATTGAAGGCCTAAAAGTCATGATTTTGCAGCTTGGGTTCGGAGGACTATCTGAGATGACAGCAGCCATTCTGATTCACTTTCAATCCAGCTTTAAACAAAGAAAAAAAAAGAAAAAAATTACATACACTGTAGAATATAATCTGTAAAACAAATGCTGAGATTCAACATACTTGGTTTCAGACATGAAAAAAAGTTTCTAAAATCATCTGCCCAAGCTAGTATAAAAGGCACAAAACAAATGTTTACTTTTTCACTTTACTCTTTTAAGAATACTCAGCACAAACTCTGTTGTAAGTAATATGTACACAGTTCAGTCCATACCTCTATTTATACAGCATGTTTTCTCAACTTAACCTGGCATCTTCTGTGTAGATCCATCTGCATGCTCCCTGTCTAGAGAGTTACATTACATAGGCACAATCTAGAGTAACAAAACCACGTTTGATAAAATATCACTATTATCATTTAGTAAATGGTAAACAGCAACTACACACTTTCCCACTCACACCGCAAATACAGAGAAAAAGCACTTTATTTCCCAGGTCTCACATTAGCACTTTAACAACAAAACTATACAGTACTCCTCATTCTCTGAAAGCTCTGCAGCAGAAAACAGTACGCAAGTGATACACATAAAATCAGCATTTCCTCTTATTTCCATTTCTACACTGAGGATGAGTAAAAAAAGTCATATTTCTATTTCATACCAAGATATAGTACTCATGAAAGGACTGATCTTTAGGTAACTGACATATACATTATCTTCAGAGGGTGTTGCAATTTCCAGGTATATATCACCATGTGTGATCTATTGTTCACCAAATTCTTCATTAATCTTACAAAAAAGCTCATCCCAGAATACAAATAACTCAGCTGTGACTAGTTTTTTACTGATTTCGCTTTTGTGAGCACATAATTCATTCCCTCATTTTCTACATCTGCAAAATGCATGCAACCATCTTTTTTTAGGCCACACACTGTAACTATACACTTTGCTTGCACGTCAGTGTATTAGTCGCTGATTTCATTAGCTTCATGTCTCTTCTAGCTTTGTATGAATCACTGCACAAGAAAGCTGTATGTGCAAGATAAGATGCCTTTACGTCTTTCCACGCTTCATGGTCCTATGAGTATTTCAAAATTTAGTCTGCTTTTTGGATCTTTATTTTTCCTCTCATTTTGCGTCCCAAATTCACCCAGCATATCACTTTCCATTCTTAGCAATTAATTGCATTTCTTTACCCACATTCCCATCTTCAGCAACATCCTATTCCCCTCCCTACACTATATTCCATCCCTGTTTGAATTTAAATTAACTAGACTGCTGCAACTGTGTGTCCAGCTTTTGGTTGAGATAGAGTTAATCTTCTTTCTGACAGCTGGCACAGTGCTATGGTTTTGCATTCAGTATGAGAATAGAGTTGATAACATGATGTTTCGGTTGTTGCTAAGCACTGCTTACTCACAATCAAGGCTTCCCATGCCATGAGAGTGAGTAGGGGCAGAAGACACAGGGAAGGAGCATGGTTGGGACACCACATTCCAACTGGGTTACTCCATGCCATAGAACACCATGCCCAGTATATAAACTAGGGATTTAGCCATGACGGGCCAAGAGCTGCCTGGGAACGGGCTGGGCATCACTCAGCGGATGGTGGGCAACTGTGAGCATCGCTTGTCCCTCTCTCTCTCCTTTTCATTGTAAGTGATAGCAGTGTATTTTATTTTGTTTCAATTATTAAACTGTTCTTATCTCAATCCACAAGTTTTACTTTGTTTTTCCAATTCTCCCCACTGGAGGTGGGGTGGGAAGTGACTCCTTTGCAATCTGGGGTTAAATCATGACACTTTCCCATTCCAAAAATCAGTACCACTTTAATTTGAGGGTACTTTTGCATTTAAATTACCATGTCCATATAGACAAATATACCTTGACATGTGTGAGATAACTTCCCTCAGTAGTAAACAGCTGGCTTGTATACAATACATCCTTTATTTATTCCCATCTATTGAAGTTCCACATATAATCTTTCTGATGTGACCAGTCCCAGGAAAATGAAACTTGGATTTATGACCAAAGGTGAAGCTATGTTTTCCTTCACTGCAAAGTGCAATAGAGAGTGTTTACTATTTGTAATGGTTCACTTACAGCAAAGTGACAATGGAAATGTAATCAAACAGGATATGTGCCTTCCCTTCACAAAATCACCTTTTAGGCTTTCACCTTAAATATATTAAATAAGTATATACATCACTGAAATACACATACACACACCTCCCTCTAACAACCAAACCCTTGGGTATTTCTTCACTGCGAAAAAAATTAGCAGTCCTCCGTTATTCACCATTTTACATCTTTCAATCCATTCCACTGACTGTAAACAAGACAGCCAGCACTCAGTAGTTATTTCATCATAGTACATACGCAAAAATCCTTCCTTTAATTCTTTCTGTATTCTGCAAGTGTCAGTGAGGTTCTGGGGCACTTTGCAGGGGAAGAGGAGAGAGAAGGGGAAATGAATGAGAGGGGAGGAAGGGGGCATAGAAGAGTTATTCTATTGTTGCTTGGTTTGGTTTTTCTTATAAAGCAAATTACTTCAGCATCCGCTTATGAATTTGTCTTCAACATCACTAATATTCTTTGCTTTAATGAACAGAAAGGACTTACCTGCCTAGTACCAAATCTAGCATTCCCAAACCAAGCCAAGGATTCTAAATGCACTAACTTTAATGGGGAGAGGGAGTATGTTGCAAACAATAACAGCTGGAATTATTTTCAGTTAACCAATAACTGAATTGTTGTCTCACCACACTCACATCTCTCAGACATGTCTAAGCCTTATCAGAGCAACTATTTCTGCTTAATTCAATGTGGTACTTGTAAACAATACTACACTAGAAGATTGGCTGATAGGCCAGTGGGTCATGCTGCCATCCAGAGGGACCTTGACAGGCTGGAGAAAATGGGCTGGCAGGAACCTTGTGAAGCTCAACAAGGGGAAGAGCAGTCCCGCACTTGAAGAGGAACGACTCCAGGAATACGGGGTACATGATGGGGGCTGAAGGCTGGAAAGCAGCTTTGCTGAAAAGGCCTTTGGGAGTTTTGGACACCAAATCAAACACAAGCCAGCAACATTCCCATGAAGCAGATGTGGTTAACTGTGTCCTGGGCTGCACCGGGAGGGAGGCTGATAGCAGATAAATTAAGGTGATCCTTCCATTTTACTCAGCACTGGTGAGGGCATGCCCAGAGTGTTGTGCCTAGTTTTGGGCTTCCCAATACAAGCACAATATGGAGCTAGCAAGCATGCAACAAAAAGCACCATGACTATGACAAACGGACTGGAGCATCTCCCTCATGAAGGCAGGCTCAGAGAGCTGGGATGATTCAGCCTAGAGAAGAGAAGGCTCTTACCTATGTGTATAAACACCTAATCAGACCACAGAATCACAGAACCATAGAATGTCTTGGGCTGGAAGGAACCTTAAAGGTCATTTAGGTTTTAACCTCCCTGCCAGGGGCAGGGATGCCACCCACTAGATCAAGTTGCTCAGAGCCCTATCCAACTCGGCCTTGGAAACTTAAAGGGATGGGGAGTCCACACCCTGTTCCAGTGCCTCACCACCCTCAGCAGATAAGTTTCTTCCTAATATCCAATCTAAAATAACATCCTTTCAGTCGTTCCGTCTTTTCCTATCACTACACGCCCTTGTAAAAAGTCTCTCTCCAGCCTTCCTGTAGCCCCTTTCAGGTACTGAAGGGCCACAAAAAGGTCATCACAGAGCCTTTTCTTCTCTAGGCTGAACAATCGTAATTCTTCTAGTCTTTCCTAACAGGAGAGGATTTCCATCCCTCTAATCATCTTCATGGTCCTCCTCTGGACTTGCTCCAATGGGTCAATGTCCTCCCTGTGCTGAGGACTGCAGATGTGGATGGAGCACTCCAGAGGTGGTCTCACCAGTGGATGACTGCAAAAGAGGGAAGCAGGTTTTCTTCAGCGGTGCCAAGTGACAAGATGTCATGTTTTAACCCACTGGAAACTAAATTAACTGTGGATCAGAAGACAACAGGTTTCCCAGTTGCTTGGTTTTCTTACCTTTTAATTCCAAACTGCTAGCCCCATTTTTCCAGCATCGGAGCAGCCAGGTGGCAATACATGCACTGACACAACAGTTGAAATCGTTTCATATCTCCTGCAGCTCACTGAAGGATAGGACAGTTACCTCTTTTGTCTCTTCCTCCCGTTCCTGTGATAGCCCTGGTAATGGCTGCCACAATGTTCCTGGTGCTTCACCCTCTTTGCACACCTTGTCCTCCTTTACTAAAGCTCTTTTACAAGGTGACTTTCACACGTATTTATTTTTCTGTACATGGGCAACTGACACCAGCACATGTTGGCCTATCACCAGGGCTGGAGCATCTGTGAGGCTGCTGCTCTGTTGTCAGACCTGGAGACCTTCCCCCTCCCTACCACCAGAACTGAGCACCGGTGAACAGGGCTCGGTCAGCCTGGGCAGGGCCACAGCACATCTGGGTCTCTCTGAAACTTCTAGGGTGATAGCTCATCTCTTCCAAATATTTTACTATTTTTTTTCTGGATTTTGCACTTATTCAGAGCCAAGGTTCCTAAACACTAGAGGTGCTCCACTGTCCTAGGCACTTGCCCACACCATCCCACCCTGTCACTCATAACCATCCAGCCTTGGGGCAGATTACTGGCTGATATTCTTAAACACGTGTAACCTTAAACAAGACCTGAACCATATGCAGTAACATGCTGTCTCCTAGCAAAAGGACCAAGTTAAAACATATTCCAAAATCTTTAAAATTCTTAAATGCTACTGTAAGAAGCCTTTATGAGAAGGAAGGAAAGAAAGAAAAAAAATGTAGGAAGCTATCTCCCCCATAAATTGGAGAAAAGGCCAAAGGCGTGATTATTCATCATGCCCAGTAGATGACTCCCAAAGTACAGAGGTGACTGCAATACTGAATACAAATACCAGATTAGTTTCCCAACCCACAACATTCACATCATAATCCAATACTACAGAGTACACCCAAATTATAATCTTAGCTAAGGCCCCTGC